CTTCACTTTTTTACAGATGCATACATATCGAGAACTTTTCGTCGAAGGAGAGTGGTGTTTTACAATAGTTGTAGAGAAAATCGATCAACATATGTCTTCCTTAGGATGGGTAGTAGATTATTATCAATTTCATAGTTTGCACCTACAAAATAAAAGTATTTATTTGTTATAAAATAATCATTGTTTCAATATTTAATTGACATATATAAATAATAATTATATATATATGATCTTTTTCTTTGCCTTTCAAGATATTGCGTATAAAGAGAAAGATAGCCAGTTCTCTTGGGCGGCCGAGAGTGTTATGTAAAAAGGACCAAGGAGGATCCTATTCTTAAGGAGAAGGAGGAGGAGGAGGAGCTAGCTACCCTTCGTCTTCTTTGGCTTATTCCCAATTATTAATTCTGCCATCTGTAAATTTTGACAAAAGAAATATTTTTCAAGTTATATACATATAATTGAATTATGAAGTACAACACAATCATTTGTGAGATATTAACATTTAACAGTATGGTAGAAAAAAAAAACAATACAAACCAAAAATTATATGGTGCAAAAAATAAATGCATATAAAAAAAGATAACACCCGAAGCCCCCAAAGACCGAGGGAACCGAAATTATGTATATCTCTGCTAAACATGTAAGATATCTATAAAAGAAATTATATTTATAAAAGTTCAATTATAAAATAGGAAATGCGGAAATTAGCAATTAGTTTTTAATGGTATGAATATGTCGATGAATTCCTACTCTTTTTTTTTTCAGAATCAAACAACAACTCAGTTGTTGAAGTAGTTTACGAAGACTTTCTTCTTGAAAAAAATGTAAAAGCCTTTGACGAAATTAGCAAAGACATGCGGAAGAAATAAATTTAATTCTGATTATTGTTTTTATCACAAATTTAAGAAAAAATTTCATATTGTGAGCTTATATGAATTGCATTCTTCTTTTTTCATATATAGTACTATCTTTTTTAAATGAAAAAAAAGAAAAAAAATCGATAAACATTAATCTCAGTGGTCAATGTTTTCTAATATCTCATTGTCCATGCATATATAATTTTTGACCAACTCTATCTGATCTTTGTTTCTATAAGGTGCAAATTAATTATATGAACCAAAAGATTAACTTAAGAAGTTGGTATAAATAGTTTTGAATTAAAGATAATCATTTTTTTTCATATCAAGCAACATACCACTAATTAAACATACTAAGATGAGGCTTAAACCACAAATACATATATAAAACAATGGATATACCTAGGAAAAAAATCTGGCAGAATGAAGAGATGGAAAGATGGGAGAAAGAAGACTTATTGTGTACCTTTATAGAGTTTTTGTAAAAATAGGAAAAAGGTTGTGGCAGAAAATTATATAAACATTGATCAACAATAACTAAGAAAATTATGATTAAAACATTTTTGGATTGTATTTAAGGAGATTGTGATTGTTCATCTTCAATCTTAATTACGCGAAATGGTCTGGTGGACCCTCGTACTTGTATGTAACGTATTGTGAACCCTTCTACTTGTTCCTTTGTCATCTGAACCCCTGAACTCATCAAAACACAATATTTTAAACACGTTTTTACTACTCAACTATGTGTGTATCACAAACGCCTGACACGTAATTTTAAAAATAATTATAAAATGACACATGTATATATGGTCACTCCATGTCATTTTTCCTTTTATTATATTTGATTAATATACCTACATTTTCTCTTTCCAATTTTTATTTCTCTTTGCCATAGCCATCTGCATCACCATCCCCACAATCTCATTTCAACTTTTTCTTATCTTCTTTACCCTTTTCCTTTTGTTAACCTCTTCTACTCTTTCCATTGAAGTAAAAAATGTTGGCACGATTCCTGATTGTTCACAATCTCGTCGGAGTTCGGAGTTGATTTTGGGTTCTGTTGGATTGGGTTTGGTGGTGACCGGTGGCGCTAAGGAAAAGTGGGGGTCTATTGGGTGGTCTGATTGTTTGTAGTTGTTCACATGCAACTGGCGGCGTTGTGAAAGTCGAGACTTATTGGCGGAGTTAGTTTGGGGTTTTTGTCGTTGTTATTGTTGTTGTTGGTTCTCATTTATAGTTGTTGGTTGAAGCTTGTCGGAGATGGTGAAAACGAAGGCAGTTTGGTCGGATAAGGTGAGGAGGATGAGAAGAAGGCAATAAGTTTGGGTTTGGTTTGGAACTGAAACAAGGGGTCAATGTCAAATATATTTGAGTTTTTTTGTTTGATTTTCAACTTATCTAGGTAGGTTTTTCAATTTATTTTCGAATCTATATGTTGTTTAGTTTGGATTTGATCTCTATTTGTGTCTTTATTTGGTTTTGGGGTTTTAGTCGATTACATTGATTTTGTTGAAATTGGAAAAACCAGCCAATCTACTCTCTTGGTCTCCCCCCTGTAACTTGAGAAATCATAAGAGAAGAAGAAATCGTTGCGTAGAAAGTCGTGCTTACTATCTCCTCCATCGTTGTTATGTAAGAGGAAAAGAGCGAAAAGCTTACTTTTAGGTAGTGGCCTAAGCGCTAAGAAGTGAACATCATGCTACTCAGACTATATGCTAAGATAAGATGACGACTGGCTGACTTACCGAACGGACGGAAGGATATTCATGATATTCGGAAAGATTTATGTTAATTCGCTCTGCGAGCAGAGCGGTATACCGAAAAAAAAAAACTAAAAAAAAAAAAGAGTTGGGTAGATCGTAGATTGCCGGGTATGAATTCGATTCTAAGTCGGAGAATGCCCATGAATAGGGTCTTATTACAGAATCCGTAGTTTAGAAAGTAGCCCTAGACAGATCATTGCTAAGAGGAGAGCTGGGAATTCTTTTTTTCTTTGAAAAAAGCAGTAAGGAGTAAGGAGATTATTGGGCATTTTGCATTTTTGTGCCTAATGTTAGTGTAAGATATTTTGGTAGTAGTGTTATGCCTTCCATGGCGTTTTTCATAAAAAAAAAGAGCCGTATAATAACAAGAAACAATAGAGAAGAAATTTAGGGAAAAAAGATCGAAAAACAGGCCAAGAAAACCTCAAATTTTGTCCAACAATGGTCTTAGATGCAAATAGGAAGATGATGGCTTTACAAAACCCTAATGTGATTGTTAGACCCTTTTCCAAGGGTATCACGCTCCTAATAGGTGTGTGTCACACGCTCTTTGGTATTAACTGCCACATAGGATGCCAAGTCAAAAATAATGTTTAAAATATTGTGTTTTGATAAGTTCAGGGGTTCAGATGACAAAGGAGCAAGTAGAAGGGTTCACAATACAAACATATACAAGTATAAGGGTTCACCAGACCATTTCGCTTCTTAATAAAATTGAATCTAGTGTAAAACATTAAGTGTTGTTGGAATGAGTTTAACGGCAAAAACTAAAAGGATAAATAATTAATGCTCAATAAAAGATAGAAAAATGTTGAGCTATCATTATTTTATTTTATTTAAGAAGTTTGTAAAAGATATTTTAATTTTAAAAATTAGTGAAGGGCATTTTTGTAATTCAACTTTGAACTAAAAACCTTTCCACTTTTAATATAAGATTAA